TTGAATAGTTATTTCGTACAACAGTTGAGTTGGTATGTACTAGATCAATTAATGTTTCCTTAAACCCAGATAATAGTATTACTTTCATTTGTATCTTCATGATTAGCTTTGTTGTTATTACTTTCACTTATTTTAATAATTCCTGTTCTTTTTTTTTCTTTTTTTTTGTCCTTGCCCTCCTTTGTTCCCTTCTCATCATCTCTTCTTCTTCTTCTTCTTCTTCTTCTTCTTCTTCTTCTTCTTCTTCTTCTTCTTCTTCTTCTTCTTCTTCTTCTTCTTCTTCTTCTCTTCTTTCTCTTCTTCTTCTTCTTCTTCTTCTTCTTCTTCTTCTTCTTCTTCTTCTTTCTTCTTCTTCTTCTTCTTCTTCTTCTTCTTCTTCTTCTTCTTCTTCTTCTTCTTCTTCTTCTTCTTCTTTCTTCTTCTTCTTCTTCTTCTTCTTCTTCTTCTTCTTCTTCTTCTTCTTCTTCTTCTTCTTCTTCTTCTTCTTCTTCTTCTTCTTCTTCTTCTTCTTCTTCTTCTTCTCCCACGTTTTCTCCTCCTTCTCCTCTTCTTTGTCTTCTTCTTCTTGACCTGATTTTTATCTTTTTATCTTATAACCTATAAAAGTGTTGTATTTTTTAAAGTAGTCAACATATTTCATTGGTCAATTTAATTGATTTCAGTGACTCTTTTTTTTTAAATTCTTATTCTCTCCATGCCCTTACACATTTGTTTGTTTATGATTCCATTTGTTCTGTGATAGTAGTCTCTTTATCCCATCCCCAGTCCATATTTGGACATCTATGAAAACCGACACCCTGACAACAAAGTTATAATCACACTAGCGACTATACGCACTTCATGTCGCCATAGGCACCAGAACCTGGGGGTTGGGGATGTCAGGCAGCTTTACCCGCCCCGACCTTTCAAGGTCCCCCCCCCCCCCCCCCCCCCCCATCCAACAAAAAATTTGGTCCTGCAAGGTTAACCCAGTTGACAAATGCTTGCAGAAATCGAGTGTGTCTGCCGAAAGGCGCCAATATTACAGCCATGCTGCAAACGGGCACAACGCAATTACATCTTCGGATGAACTAAGAAGGAGGAGAAGAAGAAGAATAAGAAGAAGAAGAAGAAGAAGAAGAAGAAGAAGAAGAAGAAGAAGAAGAAGAAGAAGAAGAAGAAGAAGAAGAAGAAGAAGAAGAAGAAGAAGAAGAAGAAGAAGAAAATGAAGAAGAAGAAGAAGAAGGAGGAGAAGAAGAAGAAGAAGAAGAAAAGGAAGAAGAAGAAGAAGAAGAAGAAGAAGAAGAAGAAGAAGAAGAAGAAGAAGAAGAAGAAGAAGAAGAAGAAGAAGAAGAAGAAGAAGAAGAAGAAGAAGAAGAAGAAGAAGAAGAAGAAGAAGAAGAAGAAGAAGAAGAAGAAAAACAACAACAAGACAATTTGAAGAAGGAAAAAAAATAAAACAAGTCAATCCTCCCATAAACCTCCCCCCCCCCCCCCACCCCCTTCACTACAATCATCTATCCAAGTTCTCCTTTCAGGTATTTATTTATTTATATCGCAATATTGCGGATATGTTATTATATTTATTTGCCATTCAACACATACATTTATTAATGATAAGAACAGTGATTTTAAAAAATATTAGTATTTTTGCGCACTCACAAAAGGCATAGTCCTCTCGAGCATCCAGCTTGTAAACGAAGTTCAAGACCCCCCAGTTTTGATTTCTTTGTGACAGCGCCTTTGCACGTCCCAAAAGCATAAGACTCAGAGACAGAGCTTATCTCGGGTCACACGAAAATTGACAAGCATGTCCGCGATAAGAAGGCAACAGTATCAGGATATGCACTGGCATGCAAATGGGCTGGAAGTTAATATGTAACCTTTGTTAAGCAACTAGCGTCAGTCTCCAGTTCTGGAAACAATTAAAATTTGAACAAAGAAGACACAAACAATAGATTGCACAATTTATTGCCCGGCATATTTCCCTGTATCTCGGGAGGTGCATACTTCAGTAAAAATTACATAAATGAAGCAAATAAGTGAATCCTTTATATCTGAAGTACAATTTCAACAACGATCAAACATGCCTGCCTGTTTCATATGAACGTTGTTGAAATTGTACTTCAGATATAAAGGATTCACTTATTTGCATCATACATACACACACACACACACACACACACACACACACACATATATATATATATATATATATATATATATATATATATATATATATATATATATAATATATATATAATTGTTACTGTGTAGTATGCACATGATGAGATACAGCGAAATATGCCGGGCAATAAATTGAGCAATCTATTGTTTGTGTCTTCTTTGTTCAAATTTACAACGGGGAAATATTGCTTTGAACAAATTAAAAGTTGTCTCTAAGTGCTATTGATTTTGGGGAAAAAAAGTGCTGGGCTGCCGACCCAATAGGCTTGGGTTCAACTACGCAAACTCATCTTGCAGGTTCCCTAGGCCCCATTATAGGAAAGAAGAAAAAAAGAATGTATCCATTGCCTCCCTAACAAATAGACGAATTGTGGGTGTTTTCTTTAGAGTGCATCTAGCTGACAGTCAAGGAACCGACAGTCATACCACTAAGCCAGTTCTGTAAAACTGTTCTGCACACACACACAAAAAGAGTTTTGGGACATGTCCAAAGTCCAGAAATGGATAAAAAACCAACTCTTTCCGCCAGAGTTTACCCCGGTGAAGACAAAAATGGAAAAGAAGCTGAAGAATACCTAAGCTGGTTAACTAACAATAAGTAGCGTAACATCCGAAACAGGCACACGCAATAAATGCATAAAGCAGCTGCTATATGGATATTACCAGGAGTCACCACCAGGATTGCATATGGTCGTTGATGAAAGTGGTCAGTCGGGACAAACTAGCCAAAAGCAAGCAAAGTTCAGTTGAGTCAAGAATTGACATCACAGCACACGGGGCATTTCCATGCATGCTCCATCCTCATGTTTAGTAGCCAGCGCAGAATTTCAATACTGATGGTACAGGTCTCAATTCGGTTATATGTCCGTCCTGCCTTTTTTCTGAGGGTAGTGAGCCGGCCAGACCCTCTGGTTTCACCCAGATACCTTATTCTACCCAGGCCATATTAATCTTGTTTCTCTACTGATTCAGTTGCTTGTTCCCAAAGGGCCTTGACCACGCCTGCCTTTTTATGGATCAGTTCACCACCCAGTGGTGCAGATCCAAGCCAATCTGTCTATCTGTTCATTACCCACCACGCCGGCATAGCTTGGAGAAAAGATAAAACCAAACAGATTTATTGCGTACGGACAGGCTATGTGGCTTAGGACACACACAAAAAAAGGCCAGTACATGTATTGCTTAAGCCACATTGCCTGTTGGTACGCATGATAACATACACTCTTTGAAATATGTAGATTTAAAGTCGAGACTATCGACTCCAGGACCCCGTGGTGCATCATATAGAACCCAGTTTCAAAAGAAACGACTAGCAACACAAAGCACAAACTCTAAAACTCCAGCGATGATTTTGAGGATTCGCAAGCTAAACGATCTTTTCTGGCGCATAAAAAGATATCTCTGTCAACAAAAGCAAATCTCATAAAAAAATAGTTTTCAGCGGACATTGTGCTGCCTGTGCCAAAACGTGGACCCTTACTACAACTAGTAAGCGGAAGATCGTAAGAACAGAAATAAGATGTCTTAGGAGAGCTGCCGACGGTGTGACAAGAAGAGATAATCTTCAGAATAAAGAAATCAGAAGAAGACTAAGACTGAAACTAGTCGTAGAATTCATTAAAGAACAACAAATGAGATGGTTTGGTCACCTGACAAAAAATGCCCTGGTACCAACTGCTACAGAGAGCCTTGCTGAAAAAATACAATGAACACAGAGCAGTATAGGCCATGCAAGAGATGGAGCGATATCACCAGGAGCAATAAAACAGAAATGAACACCAACTTGTACAATGAATTGAAAAAAAAGGACACAAACGATCCTTACATCTCCAGCCAACACCTCGCTGAGGTAAATGGTGGAAACGAGGAAGTTAGCCAAACGCATGGTCAGAACAACAAAAAATCAATGACATTAAGGTTTAACCCAGCGCTATGGCGTAGTTGACAAAACTTTGGACGTCAGGTGACAATTCTAATGCTTGTCCGGTCTCGGCTTCGAGCCGGGGGATTACATAGAAACAGCCTACTCTCCGGATTAACTGTGCACTTGCCACCGAGGCTGAAGGGCTTCGATGTTCACGGCACTGAGTAAAATGAGCTATGCTTAAGTGATTTTGGTTTAGAAGACATAAAATGGTTCGCAAAAGAAAAAAGTTTAACTTTCTCTACACAAGATTTCTCGATCTTCTCTCTCCCCTCTCTGTCTGTCTGTCTGTCTGTCTGTCTGTCTGTCTGTCTGTCTGTCTGTCTGTCTGTCTGTCTGTCTGTCTGTCTGTCTGTCTGTCTGTCTGTCTGTCTGTCTGCCTGTCCTGTCCTGTCTGCCTCCTGCCTGCCTGTCTGTCTGTCTGTCTGTCTGTCTGTCTGTCTGTCTGTCTGTCTCTCTGTCTGTCTGTCTGTCTGTCTGTCTGTCTGTCTGTCTCTCTCTGTCTCTCAGCAAATGAAATGAGTGCTAGATGCGGCACTGTGTGCTGTGGATTTTATGTGATTGGGGGAGGGGGGTGCAGGCTGTGGTGGGGGGGGGGTTTGGCAGGGGAGTGGTGCTTGCGGCGTGTTGTTGACTGCGCTAAAATGAATAATGGGCGAACACGATCAGAAAGGCATTGGTGGGTGCAATTCGGTTCTTGTGAATCGACCGTTTTGGAGAACAGTGAGCAGCAGTTCTGGCGTGGTACCCATAGTGTTGGCATATCTAACAGCTGCCTTATGCATTTTAACTTTGCGTGTGCAAATTATGCTGGAGCTAGAACATTTGTCATTTTTGTTTTGTTTTTTTTATTGTACATTAAAGGAAATGTGTAAATAGTTCCACGGGTACTGGAATAAAGCTATCACAGAGCGAATGGCCTTCTGTGAAATTGTTACCTCGACTAACGACTAACGAAATATCATCAAATCCAGGGAGACAACACAAGTGCCTGCGATGGTTGAAGACAAATCTGTTCCTGCTGCTGACGTTTGCTGGGATTATAACAGGGCTCATTCTTGGCCTGACTGTCAGGATAGCCCGCCCGGGCACTGATACTTTGCTGTGGATCGGTTAGATATTGCTTATTCCTATGAAATAACTGTTATTCATATAATAATTTGTATTTTCAATTGATAACACTCAAGTGTCACTTCCAATTTTTTTTTTTTATATATATATAGAGGATCCTTATCACAATAATTTATCCCTGTGTCTTTTATATAACGTCGCTCTCTTTAGGGCACGGTGTGTTGGGTAATGAGCAGGAAAGATAGACTAGCTGATTCTGCACCACTTGGTGGTGAACTGATGTATGACAAGCTGGATGTTGTGAGGGCTCTTTGAGTGTAAGTGAACAGTGCGAGGCACAGATAGATCATTATGGTCTGAAGAGAATGGCACTGCGAAGAGTTACAAGGGGATCTGGCCGACGCTCGACACTCAGGGAAAAGGAAAGACAGATACACAATAAGACGGTTAGTGGTACCATCGGAATTTTAACTCTTCGTTTGCTGCTGAAGATGTGAACGGGGCGCTTATGAAGGTGTTGCTAGTGAGGTGATGTCGATTCAACATTCAATATTCACGGCACGCTTGAAAGTATGTTTCTCAAGCCAATTATCCAACCCTGTGTGCTTTCATAGCTAACTAATCTTCAATGTTCTATATCCATCTTCGTGGAGGTCAGCCTCTGTCTAATGTTCTGGACAACTAGATCCTCCATCACCGTTCCTTCCAGATCACAGTGGTGCCTTGACATGTTCAAAATACCACAGCTTTCCGAAGGGGATGCTGTTTACCAGTCAGTTTAGGTCATGGAGGATGGCGACATTTTTTTTTAAATTCTTGTTATTCTAAGAACTCGATCCCAGCTGCGGGCCATGCGTTGATTTCGACAGCGGTATCGAAGAAGCCGACGGTCCAAAGGCAATGGCAAACTACTAGACGTAAATTTTCCTAGAAAAACCACACAACAGCCAGAGGCTGTTGGGGTTGGTTCTGCAACGTCCTGTAAAGGATATGCAACTAACCTATTCAAAGAACATTTCTAGGGTTTCCATATGCATCTAAAATAAAATCCTATGGTAAAGATTGTGTGTGTGTGTGTTTAATTAGCCACTTTTCTGGTGCCATCAGGTGTTTATTGGGTCTGTAAAGATTCTAACTGCACTCAGTCACCTCATTCGCTGTTACCGTCTAACTGGTTGTACACTACGAGTGGTGGGTCATTTTACGTTTATTACTTTGCTATTGCTTTACTGAACCATGACCGGCTCCAGCTGGAGACGGTCATGACTGAACGGTCAGCTCTTGGTACTACTGTCGAATCTAACGCAGGACGAACCGTCAGCAGTTGGGATTGAACCCGGGACCCCGGCATTACAAAGCGCGTTTGCAACGCCTAAGACGAGACGTCATTACCCGCGTTGAACTACAGGGCACCCCTGGCTGGTACCCTGATTATAAATTTTGAAGGTTGAACCAGTTATATGCGATCGACCTTGTTGGTTGGCTGTCTAGACAAAGATATTTTAAATTTCAAGAAGCTATAGCTACCATCCCGCGGCGTCCGTGGCTAAGGCGTTGCGAGTCCGACTCGTAAGCCAGCATACCGCGAATGAAATCCACTGCAGGCTGCGTGGATTTTTGTCCTGGTATGGGACGTCGCAGGTCGACCCAGCCTAAAATGGGTACCAGGATGGGCTGTCCTGGGAAAGTAAAGACAGCCGGCGTAATGCTGACCACATTACCCACAGGGTGCTGATGGTCTGTAAAATATGGGACGCTCTGTCCACATGCCCGATGCGCCGAAAGGCGTGAAAAGGGATCTTTACTTTACTTTACTTTATAGCTACCATCCCAGAGGGGACACACTGATATATATATATTTATATATATATATATATATATATATATATATATATATATATATATATATATATATATATATATATATATATATGTGTGTGTGTGTGTGTGTGTGTGTGTGTGAGTGTGTGTAGATCAACTGCACTTAGCATGTCCACGTGGTTTCTTGCAATGCCAGAAAATAATTACCATTATGTAATATAGTACGAGTGTAATGCATTTATTCCCAGGTATGCCAGGAGAGCTGTACATGAGAATACTTCAAGCAATGATACTGCCACTGATTATCTGTACAGTGATAGATGGTATGTTTCCAATCCGTCTGTCTTATATATATATATATATATATATATATATATATATATATATATATATATATATATATATATATATATATATATACATATACACTAGCTGTACCTGGCCACGCGTTGCTGTGGCATAGTTTGGCTAAATGAAAATGAAAGAAAATAGAAATCGCACGTGTCTAATACAATGATTGTCTGCTCAGATATAGAGATAGTCTTTGATCCCCGCCCACCCCCAAAACCACCACAACTAAATCCACCTACTGCTCTCTCCCTCATCAAAGGTTTTTGGAAAAGAAAGACAATGGAAATCGCATGTGTCTATATATAGTTAATGTCGCAATCATTTTCTACACAGATATAGAGATAGTCTAGTTTTCCAACTTTAGAACACGCACCTTATAATTGTGTCTTTATATTATTGGTCGTTTAAATGGTGTTATTAGCACAGTAACAAAAATTGTTATTTGGTTATCACATGCTAAAGCTGTTTGTATTTTTATAGGGGACGGAAATAAAGCTACAACTGTAATTGTGAATAACAAAGTAAGTCGTAAAAAATAGAAAAGCGGAGGTAGCGTTAGTAAAATATAAACAAATTAGGTAATGAGAACTTAAAAATCACGTGTAAACCTCTTTAAGTTCTCTTAAATTTAAGTCATTACCCCCCTCCCCTCCCCTCTTCCACCGACTACTGCTCTCTCCCTCTCCGAAGGATTTGAAAATCATTACCTGGCGATATTTTTTGTTGCTGTAACTGACATTGACATCCCTGTCCATCCGGACTAAAATGTGGAGCAGGAATTGTAATAGGTAGTGAATGGGGCTAGTGTAATATTTATCACATCATCATTCAAGTACCAGTACAACTACTACCACGACCACCACCACAATGCTAAAATTATGTCACTGCTAACTGTGTTACCATCGGAGTAGACAGAGAGTCGTGAGCCAGAAGATTTGGTTCCGCATGGCTAGTGCTGTCGCCACAGACTGGTCAGGTTAGATGTATAATTTCACTTGCCTACAGAAGAACGCCATAACCTTACCTGCGGTCTTCACATGAGAGCACTATGGTGTAACAGCCCAACCACAACTATTACTGCTGCTGCTACTTTAAGTGGGTAAAGCAGTTACTGTGACTTGAAGCTCTCTCAGTTAATAGTTTAAGCCCCCCCCCCCCCCCCCCGACCCTAAATTCATCGACATCTCTTTCCCTCATTGAAGTAGTTAGGAGGAAAAAAAAAAACACTTGAAAAGCAAATGAACACAGGAAACAAAAAAACAAAAAAAACATAGTTAGTAAATAAACGTTATGGTAAACAGCACAGCTTAAAATTCCAACGCAGATGAAATAACTAAATCTAAATGAAAATAAATGGAAAGCTATGAAATTTCAGCGTAACCATGCAATCGGAAAGTTATAAAATGCAATGGTCAATGCGAAATGGTCAATTTTAATTATCAAATGGTTTACCCATTTAATTGTCTTTTTTTTTTTTTTTTTTTTTTTTAGTATTAAGGGCAACATTGCTAGTGCCCTCACCACGACAGAGCAGATGAGGATATTATTTTAGTCCGGGGCAAAAAAAAATTACCTACGGCAGATTTGAACCCTGGTCTCCTGCACGGGAACCCAGTGTTCTAACCATTCGACCAAGCAGCCACTTAATCGGAGCACCGAAAAGAGAACTAAACTATTGGAGATGTGTGTCCCTACTACTGTGTCCCGATTATAACACAACTCAAAACCGCAGGCAATTGTTTTCTCGTAGACAGATACTCCAGATATATTAATGAAACGGCACAACAATAGAAATCGCACGTGTCTAACAAGTTAATGTCGTTAATGAATGTTAATGTCGAGAGTCAATGTCTGCGCCGACGTCGAGATAGTCCTTAATTCCCCCCCCCCCCCCCCCCCCCCCATCGAAGGTTGTTTGAAAAAAAAATAGAAAAATATGGTTATTGTGGCAAATATAGAGATAGTCTTGTTTGCTGTACCACGACCTACTCTATGTATTAGAGAAGGCGTTGGTTGCACGTAACTCGCCGGCGAATGGTGGAAGCTTGCGTGCTGACTACGGGCATGCGCAATTACAAACTATAATTAGAAATCACTAAAATTATAAATATTAGTTTAGAATATTATGGCATAAATTGTCGTAAACTATCTCTAACAATGACAGGTTGAATTTCAAACCATGATGGTTCAACATCAGGTATCAAAACAAACATATCCTGAAAATTTCAGCTAAATCGGTTCAGTAGTTTCAGAGTCTATAGGGGACAAACAAACACGCAAACATTGATTTATATATATATATATATATATATATATATATATATATATATATATATATATATGTGTGTGTGTGTGTGTGTGTGTGTGTGTGTGTGTGTGTGTGTGTCTGTTCGTCTATCTTTCCTCCTATCAATATCTGTATCTTTACCACCTTTCTATATCCGTCTATTTGTCCGCTCGTGTATCCATCCATCCATTTGGAGTAAAATAAAACGCAAAATGTAATGGGTCTGTTACCAGGATGGCACAATGGGTCACGGGTGGAACATGTGAGTAAAATTGATGAAGGTCACATTAAAAAAAAAATAATGATTGAAATAGACTACTGGCCTAATATTAAACCTTATCACCAAATTTCAAATTTATTCTCCCCCTGGAACATAACCTGGACTCTTTAGGGTAATATTTCAAAATAAAGTGCAACAAATAAACAGTGAGGTGGACAAGTTGCATACTACCAAAGAAAACGAAGTATCAAATCAATCAGAATGAGACTAAAACTATCATTTGACAACTACAAATTTACAATCAGACGTGGGCAAATAATTGTTCTGCATCTTAGAAAAGATATAATCAACGTAACAATCACATATACATAGAATATAAGACTGATAAATTAATAGATAATGTGTGTGGATTGTGTCACAGACTGGAGATCCATGTACTGTAAGACTGTCAGAACTTAACATCTGCCAGAGCATTAAATCCTTTGGCTCAGAGGAGTCACGGTAGCAAATGAACAGTTATACTCAATATAAACTGATAACGAAGGTCAAAGAACATGCTACATTACTATAAAAATATTCTAGCAGATGAATTCCCACAGTCTGGTGAGATTGATGCACAAAATGAGGGGGGGGGGGGGGGGGGGATTGACGAGATGTTCTAGCAGATGCTCTAGGCGCAGAGGAAGGACAAGACGGAAGTTTAATCAGAATGATTCTGTCACCATTAGTATCAGAACTCTTCGCTGGCTGCTGAAGATGGGGGCGGAGCTCTTATAGGAATGCCCCGAGTGCTGTAATGTAGGTTCTTGAATCAACTCAACTCAAAGAGATCACTTGTCACATATACCAGAAAGAGTTGAAAGACGTGTTGTGACTACCGGAAAGATTTGCAGAAGGAGAGATAGAGAAAGAGAATATGAGAAGCTTCTGAAGACCTTGTCTATGGCTTAGAGGTTGTCAGCACATGAATGGATACACACTGTTAGAGATCACAGGTTGTGTAGAGGAGGCATGGTTGGTGTATCTGACTTGGGGGTTGCGAATACGCTTCCAAACTACCAAGGGTGGATTCCATGGAAAGATGTAAAATGTAAACCAGAACGAATAGTATATCGGCGAGCTTCACGATATAACAAACGCAAACAAAACGTGAAGGTTGCGGCTATGGAGCCTTCATCAGAAAACACACAAATTAGACAATACTACACAAACACACAATATCACTTATCTTAGTACATCGAAGCAGCCATGTAGATGTCTAGGTAATAGACTGGTGAATTCCAGCTGCAGGCGATAAGCCAGCAGAGAGCTTTGCGTTGATTTTGACAGTGGTATGGACAGCCGACCCTGAGAGCCAGCTTAAAAGCATTATGAATCCCTTTTGCACTAGGACCATTACGAGAATCATTCACAAGTCTCAGAGCCACAGATTAACAAGAGGCCCGTGGGCTTATGGGTCCCTTGTTTAAGTGCCTAGTCGACGCATATACCGTATGTCCGTAAAGTCATGATGCACTTTTGACGTCCTTTGACATCCTTTGACGTCTGCAGTGCACCATGACTTTACGGAAACACGGTATATTTGGTTTTAGGACGAGACAACCAGCAACGCGCTGTGGAGCTTAAAGAGGATGACGAAGCACGCAGAACACACCCTTGTCATCCACTGCACCAGAGTTTATATCAACCTGTTCTGCCACTGGATCCTGATGGACACCGGATAATTAACTAGTCGTCCTCATGTGGGATTCAATTTTTCTTTATTTGAAGCCCCACCCTGGCTTTTGCCGGGGGCTCTAAATATGGCCGGGCCATAAATATTGCTTAACGGCTGAACGGGGTTTTTGGGACCTCTCCACTGGTGATCCTCATCCGTATGGTGGCATTGTGTGTCACTGGGTGTGTATCGCTTGTGTGATGTCAAGGTGTGGTACAACGTACATAGATGGTCACATGTGGAATAATTAGGTCGTCAACGTTGCACATCTCTTCCTCGCTTAAACCAATTAAACGGAAAGGAACATTTAGCCTAGCGAATGTAAATGTAACAGATGCATTTTACAAATTATTTTTTCAGAATACAAAACTAACAAATATGTCAGAGACATAATATACACATTTGCGGATTATGAGAAGCATCTCTTGTCAGTGGTTAAACGTCGCAAGCTAGCATGGTGCGGGCACATGGTGAGACATGATACGATTTTAAAAACTGTACTTCAAGGAACATAAGGGGGTAGTCGAAGAAGAGGAGGGCAAAATAAGAACCTGGAATGACAACATCAAGAAATGGACAGGACTTATTACAGACGTGTGGGTCAAGTGGAACGCAGAGAAAGATGTCATGTTTTGTATGTTAGTGCTTCCACCGATACACCGTGACGACACTAACAGGTCTAGGTTTATACAAAGTTTGTAAACCAGTTTCATTGTACACTTATCATCATCATGTAGCAGGTCCTTTGCAGAACGTTGCTCTCATCACAGTCTGCCTGTAAGAAACTCGGTCTCTTGCCAGTTCTCCTGCCTCATGCATTTTCGCACTCAAGGAGTCACTTATATCCTGTGCCCATCTTCGTGTCGGTCGGCCTCTGCCCCTCCTCCCTGGTACCATGCCTTCTGTTATAATTTTTTCCAATCCGCTGTGGCTTGATATGACCAAAATATTTCAGCTTTCGAGAAAGGATGCTGTTTGTTAGCCAATCTTCCTTGATGTTCAGATCTTTTGAGATGTCAATATTTCTCATCTTCTTTGTCCAAGATATTCTGAGAATCTTTCTATAGCATTTCAGCTCAAAAGCCCCTATTCTCTTTCTTAAGGACTGAGAGATAGTCCATGACTCACATCCGCATTGTACACTGGGTATGTGAATTCATAAATAAATGATAGGAAGCAAATAAATTAAGTTTGTTGCAACAGACTATGAATTCCAGTTACTGAATGTTGTTTGATGCACTTTTACAGAAATAAATTAAAAAAAAAAAAAAAAAAACATAATAAAGTTTCTCTAATACCCTAAGTGAAGTCAAATTTAATCACTGCTGACACGATTTCTTCTTCTTCTTCTTGTTCACCGGCTGTGAATTCCGGCGGTAAGTCACGGTTGTTCGTCCAAATGGACTTTTGGCTTTTACCTTGACCAGAGTTTTGCGTGTACATCCGTTTTACTGGCTTATTTGTTTGCAGTTCTCGTACCCCGCCTCTCCGGCAGATGTACTCCGACTTCGAGGGAAGACGTTAAGCCTATTTCTAGGTTGACTGTGGCCATTGTTTTGTGTGGGTCGAGATGTTGCCTCATTTGCGTGGTGTCCTCTTTGACCTTTAACAGGTGTGGTCCCCGGAATATCATCCTTAAGGCAGCCCTAGGTAGAACTGTCAGCCCTCAAGAGAAGGCTGGGGCAGATCATGGGCATTCCCCGCCATCCAAGGAGGCTTCCATAAATGCAGAGCCGTCACATGATGCTCTGGTTCTGGGCTCACCCAAGGAATCGTCACGTCATGCCCATGACTGTTTAACCTCACAACCGTGTATTGAGCTTCCCGCGCTACAAGGCTGCGCTCTCCGGAGATCAGCGGGATGCAGCCCGCAGGTCCAGGACTTTTGTGGCCACACAAATAGGTACATTCTTTTTCATCGTACGTTAGACACCTTTAACGTTGTTTCAGTTGTGCCCTTAGCACGACAGAACGGGGAAGCAAAATGCGTCAGGCGTGGCTTCACCTGTTTTGTCCCAACACTCGGGCGAGTGGGACCAGTGGATATGGACATTTGGACTTTTTCCTAATCGGTACGAATTATGATCGTCGGACTTGAAGCTTGCATGTGTGCCGTGGGGTTTAACTTTGTCGGACATTATTTCCTAGCCAGCAGATGAAAAGTTTCTGCCGTGGTGTACCTCAGCGCGGTGACGACGACACTGAGGATTGACAGAGGATGTAAGTAAGTAGGATCTTGCTGCGAGAAATCGCCCACAGGAGATGTTACTCGTCTTGGCTGCGGGTAAATCTCTCGGTCAGGGTTGAGTCTCAGCAGCACAGTTTTCCATTCGCTCCTGAATTTTAACCGAGAGTTGTCATTTGATGGTACATTTGACAAGCAATCCTTACTCGTGTTCAGAATGAGTTTTGTTATACTTTTCACCCATGCGCTTGGGGGCGGGCTGGTGAGAGCTAGAAAGGACACTACACCTCTAGGGGCCGCTAGCTCTGAGATCCCCTGCCAACTCTGTTAATGCTCATTTGAGACATTATCCATGGCGTACGACGGGGACGTGCAGCAGGAGTCTTGCATGAGGTTCCGTAGAACCAGAACAGTGAAGGACTGGCGCCCGAGTGGGGTACGGAATATCTCCTTATACACATCACATCAGACCTAACTTTCCCTCATGCCTGTGACCAAAATCACCGCGCCACGCTAACACGATTTAACCAATTAAATAATATTAAATTAGTGATGAGGCATGTAATAGCTTGCATTCTCTTACAACTGGAGGAAAATCTATTCCAAAACTCACATATTCAGAATTTGTTTCATTCTTACATAAACTATAAATTCATGAGAAATGAAAGAAAGCGTTAAGACGGAAATGTTTACCGCTGATGTTGCAATCATACAACTACTAAACATTGCCTAGCGAAACAATAAACAGCTGGTTTGGTTATGCAACATCCTGTAAAAGATTTGCAACTCGTTGTTGTTGTTGTTGTTGTTGTTTTTTTTTTTTTAATTCGATTTGCCCAAGCGTAACAAAGTATAAAAGCGTGTGTCTGATGTTCTAGGAACAGCCAACACTGATCCCAAGTCTAACGGACGTATCGGACTGGTCACCATGACTTACATTATGGTCACCAACATCCTGGGTGTTGTTGTGGGCATCTCGTTGTGTCTTGCCATCAGCCCAGGTCAGTAGCTGGTTGTGTAATAATCGTTGAATTATATTACTTGACTTTATGAAAAAGCTGACACGTGTTCATCTAATAAATACTTTACTTATAATACCAGTTTGAATCCCTAACAATGTAGATGTTCCAGTGCTTGTACTGAATATTTTATTGCTTCTAATAATGTTTATTACTTGATGTGTGAATGAAATGATGTAAGAATGGAGGGAGACCTTGAAGGGCAGAATGTTAGACGGACCTGCGTATCCAATTCTTAACCCATTAAAAAAAAAAGTTCGTTCGTTCGTTCGTTCGTTCTTGTGCGAGTCTTGAACGACTCTGTGACGGTCTGAATGTGGTGCAAATTCGGAATGAATCTATGTGTTAATGAAGCCTGCACTTGAGTTTGACTGAGTTTCTCTGGAACCCTGACTATACTGTCGAGCTGTCTTCCTGTACAGTTTATTAGTCGTCGGCTTCTGTCAGACTGAGTAGTTTGTGATTGTCAAAGCGTCTGTGCGGATTCTTCTGACATTATTCAATCAAAGGTAACGTTTGCTAGCAGTATTCGAGACATGCTGCTTTATGAAGTTAAACTGTTGTACCCGAGACATGCTGCTTTATGAAGTTGAACTGTTGTACCCGAGACATGCTGCTTTATGAAGTTGAACTGTTGTACCCGAGACATGCTGCTTTATGAAGTTGAACTGTTGTACCCGAGACATGCTGCTTTATGAAGTTGAACTGTTGTACCCGAGACATGCTGCTTTAAAAAGATGAACTGTTGTACCCGAGACATGTGTTCTCTGAACGTGCACTGGTCAACAAGTCAGCTGGGGTTAAATAAATAAAAACATTGTCTGCGATCACTCTTGTAGCATCTTTCGTTGTTCCATGATGGATTACATCAGTGTGCATTCGAGAAATCTGCAACTGATTAGAGCCAGAGTTTTGAGAGAAAGGAAAGTCACTGCAGACATAAAATTGTCATTCAACATATATGTTGAAAAAAAAAATAAGTTGGGGAGGGAGGAGGGGATTACTAATATCCTATAATTCATTCCTGGGCGTCGCCTGGTTGTAATCTCCTGTCCATTACCTTATCGTTGTCTCTACCACTGACGTATGTTTAGTCTTTACCACTAAGTGCTTTTAGGCTCTGTATAGTGTTTCATGCACTTGATAGTTTAACTCTGTGACCTAGAATAACGTCTGTGTCGAACTGATTGAAAGTACACGATACAGCATTTTGTGGATGGACATGACTGTCAACAGTACATGACATGGACTATATGGAGTAAACGTGTGCTTCGTTCTATCTTTTTGTTTCCTTTTGAGAGTGGCGATCAATACTTGCTTGTTTGTTTATTAAATACTGGTATTACAGCCACACGGGATATTCGCCTGTTGATTTGTATAGAAAGAGTTATACCAATGTTTGCTTTTACAGGATCTACAAGATCTGACGAAGGTGGATCAGTTGTTCCTGACACAAGAAACCTTCGAACTGTCGACATCTTTGCTGACTTCATCAGGTTTGCGTCATATAAATTCCTTTATTCCTTCCATCCTTCCTTTATTCCTTCCTTCCTTTATTCCTTCCTTCCTTCCTTCCTTCAATCCGTCTTTCCTTCCTTCCTTCTTTTCTTCCTTCCTTCCTTTAATCCTTCCTTACTCCCTTTATTCCTTCCTTCCCTCCTTTGTTACTTCCTTCCTTCCTTTCTTCCTTCCTTCCTTCCCTCTTTCCTTCCTTCTTTCTTTCATTCCTTTCTTCCTTCCTTCCTTCATTCAATCTTTCTTTCCTTCCTTCCTTCGTTCCTCCCTTTCTTCCTTCTTTCCTTCATTTATTCTTTCTTTCCTTTCTTCCTTCCTTCCCACCTTCCCTCCTTTACTACTTCGTCAGCATTCACAAGCGGTAAACTCCGATGGAAAGTTCTAGTTGTTTGTGCCCTACAGGACTGTGACTTTGTTTCTCAACTGCTTCTTTGCGTGCACATTAGTCTGAAAGATTTGACTTATTTGTGTGCATTTGCCTCGCAGGCATATGCATCTTATTTCGAGGGATTATACCTTTAATTAGACGCCTTTTACGGCATGTTTGTAGGGGCACTGAATCTATCTCTTCACTCCCCACCCGCACCCTGCCCCCTCTGAACAGGAAAATAAGACATACGACGAGAAGAGATAGGTCAAAGGATACAATCCATGATACTAAATCATTTCATCAGGATAGACCCGAATGAAGGAATAGCCTGCGTCTCCTGTGGGGGGTATAACAGCAAAATAGGATAATGATAATGGAAAGGATACAAATATGTTGTATAAATTCCGTTTTCAATCAGTTATGTGCTGTATCCGCGGTGACAGTAGCATCGTTACGCTTAACAATGTTTGGAAGTCACAGGGACATAGCCTGAAAACCAAATTCAAATTATCCCAAAGCCACATGTAAGCAATACTAGTATATACAACTGTGACCTTTGGAAAATGAATACAGGAATTACACATACACTATAGTCTTTCCACAGTATATTTCTGAGGAGATTCATAAGACTATTTTGGTCAAACAAGATCATCAATGAAAAACTGAGGTGGAAAACCAACTGTTTATAACTGTTTAACACTAACAATGTAAAAAAAAAAAAAACATGGAGACGGCGATGACTGTTTGCAGAATACACAGTGACACTTTGATAGATGGACAACTTTTAAGATAGACAGCAGCCCAAAGAGGACAAACAGCAAGCATTCACGCTGCTGATCGGTTTTTGATAAATGATATGCATAAAATCATGCCAGTCATTTTCAATTTCCATGGCACATCATGGACCGAAATGTGAGATTTTGTCTGTCTCAGAAACCTATTCAGTTATAAAATCTGTTTGAAACGGCTTCGAATAAAAGATCTTCTTGCACATATACATTGCATCGGCCATTGATCTAAAGAATTCCAGTAAAATTTGACTAAAAATCTTAATAAAACGGGAAAGCAGAAGAACGCGCACAAAACAACACAAAACAACATTTCGGCCGGCGGCCTTTCTCTAACTAGAAATGAACTTTACAAAATCGTTGTTTGTGTTGTTTTGTGCACGTTTTTCTGCTTCCCCGTTTCGTTCGGATTCTAATTCACACTTCACTGCAATTCCTTTGTATTAGCTTGACTGAAGTCAGTCCTAAATTTTCAGCAATTGATCTACCGTGCCTCAGGTAATTAAAACAAGGGATAATATCACTTCAGTGCCGCATCTGTCATATGATGATAAACTCACATTTTACAGACAGTCGGTATTCTCTAGATAATGTGGTCAAAATCAAGCCGACTTACTTTACTTCCAAGGTTGTTGGAAAGTATTTTAGGCTGTGTTAGTATAGGAGTCAGGGACAATTTAGAACAACAACAATTACCACATGATGATGATCCGAACACAACATCTTGGGATCGGCAGGCGAGTATCTAGCCACTCACTATTGAACCGCGGTGACCTAGATACACGTTTGATGGGTGCCTGATGGTCATTCTCATGGCCAAACATAATTAGGACTTCTATCGGAGATACGTCAGCTAAAAGTGTTTCTATTTTTTTTTTTTTATTCGTGCACGTATTTGTAAAATTGTAGATTTATACATGTGCTGATAAAGGCTCTTTAGCCGCAACGTTAAATTATCATCTGTGTTTGTGATATTATAAAGCTGACTGATTCTAATATTGGTCTGGTTTAATATATTTTCTAGATAAATGTAAGTATACAGTAAACTGCTAAATCTATCAGCAATATTAATTAACTCATGCAATTTTTTTTAAGGAACATATTTCCAGACAATATCGTGGCAGCGACCATGTTGATGGCTCAGACAAAGTACACACAGAAAGAGGTGTTGGTACAGACAAACCTCAGTGGTCTTGTGGCTAACACTACCTCGGTACAACTCATAAGATCCATGACCACTGTACCAAGTACAAATTTACTAGGTAATAAGAAGATACAATGTAGTTCTTCTAGCTTTTAGCGAAAATCACATGTTCTGTCTCTTGACACTAAGATTAGAACTTACAAAACACTGATAAGATTAACTATCCTATATGCCACCAAACCCTTAAGTACCACTAAAAAAAGAAGAAACATAATAACAAAAAGAACAAGAAGGGTCATGTATAAACCGAAATGAAAGACCGGAACTTATCACGATATCGTCCACATAACGAGAGTAACATCCCTCCCCATTCAGGGCCTGTCCTACTTTGTGGGGGTGTTATGAGATGTCATTGTTCGGCGTTCGCTCGCTCTGTATATTGTATTGCAAGGTTTTGAGAACAGTGTTACGACGCATCATTGAATCATTCAAAGGTGAAAAGGCGGACAACATAGAATGAGCAGCGAAAGCAGAACTCATAATAATGTTTAGTCACCACTAATTATTCGCCTCATGAGGTTTATTCCTCTAAAAATATTGTGGCATGTGGAATGGTCCAAAGGTAAACGGAGTCAAATCCGCTTGAAAAGAGGAGTTGAATGAAAGTAGACCACGAGGCAGACCACGAAGATTCAGGCTCAGCAAAAATATAAGCAGACTAACAAATACTTGGAGTCACCAAAATTAAAGATAGACCATATCAAATAAAAGAACAAGCTTTATTTTCAAAGGGTTGCAAATCGAGCACGTAGGCCTTTTAACATGCCACCCTTTCCCCGTGCGGGTTCCGGAGCCCTATTAGAGGGAAAACAAGCCCACTGCCTAACCAAAAGCATGTCGTAAGAGTCGACTAATTAGGAGCGCATCTGCCTGAGAGGCAAGGAACCAGCAGTCTGCATACACATGAATCAGATCTGTAAAGCGGATACACACGCAACACTTGGGTTTAGGAACAGGACTGGCAGTCCAAAAGTGGTTAAACAACCATAACTTTCCACCAGAGTTTACAGCTGGTGAACACGAAGTAAAAGAAGAAAAAGAAAACATTTCGCCCTTCCAGACATTCATCTCTCATGCCACAAATCCATGTTATCAGTAACACAAATAATGTTTATATACAAAATATACATAATGAAAAAAAAAGCATTAACATATCATGTATACTAATCACACACACTCTGAAAATATGCGTATACATACACTTTTATGTGAGATGAGTGGAGCCAGGTGATATCTTCAGCAATGAACCCTAAAGGCTGGGAATGCTGACGAATCTCTTAGTTGTTTGCATGAATGTATCCAGTATTTTTGAAGCCATATATTTAGCACTTCACAAAGTATGTCGTCACCACAAAGAAAATGAGCGTCGTCAGTACTACTTGGTGAGGCCCCAATTTTTTTCAAGGTGCGATTCTCGTACAAATGTCTGAATGCCACGATGACCTATTGTTTTCTTTAAATAATATAAACATGGTGAGATCTGAGTACCTTAATTTACATAAACGCTGATATTGCTCAGACTTTAAAGTCAGGGTAGTAAATTGTAAATTGATAAAAAAATCTTACATAAAAAATGGGTGAAACAAAAAATAAAGAAAAGCAAGAAAGAAAGATTAAAAGAAAGAAAGAAAGAAAGAAAGAAAGAAAGAAAGAAAGAAAGAAAGAAAGAAAGAAAGAAAGAAAGAAAGAAAGAAAGAAAGAAAGAAAGAAAGAAAGAAAGAAAGAAGAAAGAAAGAAAGAAAGAAAAGAAAGAAAGAAAGATAAGAAAGAAGAAAGAAAGAAAGAAGAAAAGAAAGAAAGAAAGAAAGAAAAAAGAAAGAAAGAAAGAAAGAAAAAAAAAGAACCCCCCCGAAAGAAAGAAAGAAGAAGAAAGAAAGAAAGAAAGAGAAAGAAAGAAAGAAAGAAAGAAAGAAAGAAAGAAAGAAAGAAAGAAAGAAAGAAAGAAAGAAAGAAAGAAAGAAAGAAAAGGAAAGGTAACCCCCAACAGCTTATAGTCAGATATTATTGCAAGAAGAAAGTTTACTAGCTGGTTTAGCATCATGTGTATTCCTTCTTATTTACTCTTTGTTCAGTATCATACTTTACAACTTCTGTATATTTTATCAGTGTTTATTCATTGTTCAGTATCATACTTTACAACTTCTGTTTATTTTATCAGTGTTTATTCATTGTTCAGTATCATACTTTGCAACTTCTGTATATTTTTTCAGTGTTTATTCATTGTTCAGTATCATACTTTACAACTTCTGTATATTTTATCAGTGTTTATTCATTGTTCAGTATCATACTTCACAACTTCTGTTTATTTTATCAGTGTTTATTCATTGTTCAGTATCATACTTCACAACTTCTGTTTATTTTATCAGTGTTTATTCATTGTTCAGTATCATACTTTACAACTTCTGTATAATTTATCAGTGTTTATTCATTGTTCAGTATCATACTTCACAACTTCTGTTTATTTTATCAGTGTTTATTCATTGTTCAGTATCATACTTCACAACTTCTGTTTATTTTATCAGTGTTTATTCATTGTTCAGTATCATACTTTACAACTTCTGTATATTTTATCAGTGTTTATTTATTGTTCAGTATCATACTTTACAACTTCTGTATATTTTATCAGTGTTTATTCATTGTTCAGTATCATACTTTACAACTTCTATATTATCAGTGTTTTTTTGTTCAGTGTTTTCTGTATTTATTGTGTTTAGTATCAGTATCATACTTTACAACTTATGTATATTTTATCAGTCTTTATTCATTGTTCAGTATCATACTTCACAACTTCTGTTTATTTTATCAGTGTTTATTCATTGTTCAGTATCACACTTTACAACTTCTGTATATTTTATCAGTGTTTATTCATTGTTCAGTATCATACTTCACAACTTCTGTATATTTTATCAGTGTTTATTCATTGTTCAGTATCATATTTCACAACTTCTGTTTATTTTATCAGTGTTTATTCATTGTTCAGTATCACACTTTACAGCTTCTGTATATTTTATCAGTGTTTATTCATTGTTCAGTATCACACTTTACAACTTCTGTATATTTTATCAGTGTTTATTCATTGTTCAGTATCATACTTTACAACTTCTGTATATTTTATCAGTGTTTATTCATTGTTCAGTATCATACTTTACAACTTCTGTATATTTTATCAGTGTTTATTCATTGTTCAGTATCACACTTTACAACTTCTGTATATTTTATCAGTGTTTATTCATTGTTCAGTATCACACTTTACAACTTCTGTATATTTTATCAGTGTTTATTCATTGTTCAGTATCACACTTTACAACTTCTGTATATTTTATCAGTGTTTATTCATTGTTTAGTATCACACTTTTGAACTTCTGTATATTTTATCAGTGTTTATTCATTGTTCAGTATCATACTTTACAACTTCTGTATATTTTATCAGTGTTTATTCATTGTTCAGTATCATACTTTACAACTTCTGTATATTTTATCAGTGTTTTTTATTTGTTCATTATCATACATAACAACTTCTGTACATTTGATCAGTGTTTATTCATTGTTCAGTATCATCCTTTACAACTTCTGTATATTTTATCAGTGTTTATTCATTGTTCAGTATCATACTTTACAACTTCTGTATAATTTATCAGTGTTTATTCATTGTTCAGTATCATACTTTACAACTTCTGTATATGTTATCAGTGTTTATTCATTGTTCAGTATCATACTTTACAACTTCTGTATATTTAATCAGTGTTTATTCATTGTTCAGAGTCGCTGTTTCATAAATCATGTATACTGAATTAGCGTTTTTATCAAGTGTTTACAATCGCTTGTGTATAGTTACTGTATTATTTATTCATCAGCATACATGCGGTTCATAATCACTGATTTACTAATATGCATTTTATCAGTGCACCCAATGTTCATAATCATTGCATTTATCGCTGCTTTTACAACTAATAATACAGGTGTGGCGTCTGTGATTTAGGTGTTGCGAACGCGCTTCGTAATGCCGGGGTGCCGGTTTTGATCCAGCTGCGGGCCTTGCACCTAGCGATGGTTTCGACGGTGGTTTTGAGAAGCCGACCGTCCAGGAAGAAATGGCAAACTACTAGACGTTAGTTTACCTAGAAAACCACAACAGTTCCCAAAAATGCTGGGGTTGGTTTTGCAATGTCCTGTAAAGGATACGCAATTAAAACTTTGAAATACAGGTGTGTGTGTGTGTGTGTGTGGGTGTGTGTGTGTGTGTGTAGGTTTGTGTTTGTGTGTTTATCATCATTTTATATTCACAGTTCATAAACACTTCTTTTAATAATTGCTATTTTGTCAATTTATTCACTGTTCATAATGATTACAATTAGTATTGTTAATTAGTATATATTCGTTATTTATAATCGCTACTTTTAGATACATTTCCTGTACCCGTTATCCAACAGGTTTACTTGTTATCAGTGCTTCTATCGGCATTGCGGCATCGCAGGTAGGGGAGCAGGCTCGCCCATTCATCGACTTCTTCAGCGCAGGAGCTAGAATTATCTACAAGCTGTTTAACTGGGCGAAATGGTAATTGAGCAATAAATTTACATTTTCGTTTGATCACATAATTTTTTTTTTTTCTTTGTTATATACAATATAAACTTAGTTTATTACTGTCAACCGTGACGTCAGTTGTGTTATTCGCATTTAGGTTTTTACGGCTTTTAATGGACAGATGGGTAACTGATTTTTTTTTACTTAGGCCAGGGTCCGAAGACAACTTATCACAAACATCAGAAAGAGGCAGCCCTCCGTTTTCTATTTTCATTTTTCGTGTGTTTCGTAAATCATCTCAATAGAATATGAAAACTCCTACATTTTGTAACCACTGGAAAAATTTGCGGAAAAAGAGAAAGAGAAAGACTACGAGAGATTATTCTTGACAGCCTATTATCATGGCATGGAGTGGTGCCAGCATATGCAGAGATACACCCTGGAGATCGGCAGGTCATGGAGGTTCATGATCTCCCACGCCAATCAACAAGGGACCTGTTGATGACGAATTTGATTTTATTGGCCAGGTAGTAGTCGTACAGATAGAAAAAAAAAAGATAACGAGAACTGCAGAAGCAGTGGCACTACAACGGCTAGATTTCGCAAGTCGGCCTAAATATTATTGATTGACTAGGTTTCATATCGATCCAGATTAAAATAGGCACCGGAAATGTTCTTGGGAAATAAAGGCGGGCGTCGTGATGTTTACCACATTAACGATGTATTGTGCCGATTGGTTTATTAACAACATGGGTCTAGCACCATATGTCTGACCACCACCGCCGCTATAATAATCCCTTACTTCATTGCTTTAACTCTTTCAAACCAAAGGCACGCATCATATGTTAGCCAAGTGAGCGCAAGATGTGACAAGTTTTTCTTTTCACTTCCCAATGGGTCTCTGAAACTAAACCTCCTGGGGATAAAGAAGTAAAGGGGATCACTCCAAGTTTTATTTTAAAGGGCTGGGTCTTTGCTTAAGGAGCCAATTTTTGCCAGAGTCTCGCACAACGCATGAAACTCCGTAGTTGAAGCGACCATCCTCAGGGATTTCTGAAACATGTAATAAAAAAAAAAATATACTAAAACTAATACTAAACATGAAATGTTTGATTCTAATTTTAAACAAACAGTGTTGTATGTAGCGGAAACATGGAGAAACACTATGGCAATTATTTATAGAGTACGCGCATTCATGAACTGGTGCCTGCGCTGAATAGAGGGAACTAAATGGTATGATAGAATCACTAACGTAGAGCTTTGGGAGAGAAGTTCCAATGGACCAGAGGTGAAGAAAAGACGCTGGTATTGGATAGGCCACACGCTGAAAAAATACATGAGAATAATATAACTAGAATGTCTTTGTACTGGAACCCACAGCGGCAAAGAAATAAAGGAAGCCCCCACCCCACCCCCACCCTAAAAAAAAATTCGAGAAAGGAGCTTAAAAGTGAAGGATAGAACGAATAGCCTGAGAGGACCTATGCTATACTGGGAGCTAGAAAGGAAGAAGGAGAATAATCTAGAAACTCGAAGAACGAAGACTGAAACTGTCCCCACAGTGTTGCTTGTCTTGACATCGACCTGGCTGCCACGAGACACGACGATAAGTGATATTGTGTATTTGTGTAGTATTATCTAATCTATGTATACGTTGAAGAAGGTTCCATAGCGTTCATGTTTTATTTGTGTTTGTTATATTGTGAAGCTTGCTGATATACTTTTAGTTCGACTTTATATTTCTCACAGTGTAGCGACGTGTACTCAATAATGCAAGTAGTAACATAACTCCAATTAACACCTCTCGATCATTATTTAAAAAAAAAAAAAAAATTTTTTGTGTTCTTGACAGGACGTTGCAGAACCAACTGCAGCATTTTATTTCCCTGCTGTTGCGGTTGTTTTTCTAGGTAAAATTACGTTCAGTAATATGTCATTGCATACTCAACGGTTAAATCTCGGTACCACTGTCTAAACAAACGCAAGACGGTCTGCTGCCAAATTTCCTGCATCTAGGATCGTACCCGGCACCCTGGCATCAGGAAGCGCGTTCGCAATGCCCAAGTCCCAAATTTAAAATACCCACTATTTTGCTTGCCAGTTAGATATACTGTTAAAGTTAGTTGCGTATCCTTTTCATGACATTGCAGAACCTTCCACGGCAATTTTTTAGCTGTTGTGGTTTTTCTAGGCAAATTTACGTCCAGTAGTTTGCCATTGATTTCTCAAAGGTGGGCTTCTCGATTTCAATATCGAAACCAACGCAAGGCGCACGGCCCGCAGCTGGGATCGAACCCTGCAACCTCTTATTAGGAAGCGCATTCGCAACACCTAAGCCACAGACGCCGAGATATATTAACGTAATGTTCTCATTCCAACAGGTCAACTCCTGTGGGTGTTGCAAGTTTAATTGCTCATGCCCTGATCAAGGTAGGGAACATCCAAACCGCCTTCTCCTCTGTGGGTATGTTCCTGACCACAACCATAGGAGGTTGCCTGATATATCAGTGGGTGGTCCTGCCTATCATCCTTCTGGCTGTCACTAGAAGAAACCCGTTGACGTTTATGACTCACGCAGCTAAACCGTGTTTGCTTGCTTTTGGACCCGCCAGCTCGTAAGTTACTGGCGTGCGTGTGTGAGTGTGTGTGTGTGTGTGTGTGTGTGTGTGTGTGACAGTTGCATGATCGTCATTATCATTATCATCATCCTCATCATGATAGGTGGCAGAGCAAAAGAAGCATCTCTGAACAAGGTTACGACACATAGATAAATTATCAATATAAATAAATATAGGTCTTTCATCTCAGTTTATACAACATGCTTCTTGTTCTTCTCGTTCTTGTTTTTCTTGTTTTTCCTGCTCTTCTTTATTTCTTTTTGTTATTCTTGTTCTTGTTCTTGTTGTTCTTGTTCTTCTTCATCTTCTTCTGTGTCTGTTTCTTCTTCTTCTTCTTCTTCTCCTTCTTCTTTTTCTTTTTCTTCTTCTTCTTCTTCTTCTTCTTCTTCTTCTTCTTCTTCTTCTTCTTCTTCTTCTTCTTCTTCTTCTTCTTCTTCTTCTTCTTCTTCTTCTTCTTCTTCTTCTTCTTCTTCTTCTTCTTCTTTTTCTTCATCCTTTTCCTCTGCCTTCTCTTCAACATTTTCTTCTTCATCTTCCTCTTCTTCTATTTCTCCTTGTTCTTCCTTTTTTGCTCTTCTTCTTTTTGTTATTCTTGTTATTGTTCTTCTTGTTCTTGTTCTTGTTCTTGTTCTTGTTCTTGTTCTTCTTCTTCTTCTTCTTCTTCTTCTTCTTCTTCTTCTTCTTCTTCTTCTTCTTCTTCTTCTTCTTCTTCTTCTTCTTCTTCTTCTTCTTCTTCTTCTTCTTTTTCTTCTTTTTCTTCTTCTTCTTCTTCTTCTTTATCTTCTTCTACTTCTTCTTGTCTTCTTCTTCTTCTTTGCGTCCACTGGTTGAAAACACTAGCGGAAAGTTCTATTTGTTCGTTCAATTCTGGAAATTTTATCTTGTTTTCACCCGTTTTACAGATCTGGATTTACTTCTTCTACTTTCTTCTTCTTGTTCTTGTTCTTCTTGTTTTTCTTGTTCTTCTTCGTCTTCTTCTTCTTCTTCTTCTTCTTCTTCTTCTTCTTTTTCTTCTTCTTCTTCTTCTCTTTCTCTTCTTCTTCTTCTTCTTCTTCTTCTTCTTCTTCTTCTTCTTCTTCTTCTTCTTCTTCTTCTTCTTCTTCTTCTTCTTCTTCTTCTTTTTGTCTTTTTCTTCTTCTTTGCGTTCACTGGCTGAAAACACTAGCGGAATGTTCTATTTGTTCGTTCAATTCTGGAATTCTTATTTTGTTCTTACCCGTTTCACAGATCTGGATTAGTTCTTCTTCATTCTTGTTCTTGTTCTTGTTCTTCTTGTTCGTCTTCGTATTCTACTTCTTCTTCTTCTTCTTCTTCTTCTTCTTCTTCTTCTTCTTCTTCTTCTTCTTCTTCTTCTTCTTCTTCTTCTTCTTTTTCTTATTTTTCTTCTTGTCTTCTTCTTCTTCTTTGCGTCCACTGGCTGAAAACGCTAGCGGAAAGTTCTATTTGTTCGTTCAATTCTGGAATTTTTATCTTGTTCTCACCCGTTTTACAGATCTGGATACTTCTTCTTCTTCTTCTTCTTCTTCTTCTTCTTCTTCTTCTTCTTCTTCTTCTTCTTCTTCTTCTTCTTCTTCTTCTTCTTCTTCTTCTTCTTCTTCTTCTTCTTCTTCTTCTTCTTCTTCTTCTTCTTCTTCTTCTTTTGTTTCTTCTTACTATTCCACTTCTTTTTCTTTTTCTTCTTCTTTGCGTTTACTGGCTGTAAACTCCGGCGGAAAAGATCTAGATGTTCGTTCATTCTGGACTTTAAATTTATGCTTATCCGTTTTACAGATCTGCATTATTTGTACCCATAATATTAGTTTCTTGCCTTTCTGACTAATGCACTCCTAATTCAAAGGAAGCATCCCTAATTAGTCGACTTTGCTCCAATAAGGCTTTGGAACCCACACGGGGAGGTGATTCTCCAACCGGCATATGTGGAAATTTGAGAAAAAAATTAGAATTGAATATACGTTACTTGCTTTCATAAACTGTGCGATTCAGAGCTCCTGTTTTTGTTCAGGTTTTTAAAAACTGCTGAATTCATGCATGTCATAATTTAATTCTTTGCCTTTCTGTGACTTTAATTCCATTTTGTCTCTGGTATTAGGTCTGTTTGATCTGTTATTTCTGTCTTAAAAAAATTGGTATTGTCATCCATAATCCCTAATTAGTCACCATTTATGGCATATTTGATAAATGTTAGTGGATCCACACTCCACCCCCCCCCCCCGACCTCCCAAGAATGGAGCCCTGGAACCCCCACGGGGACTTATAATTGGATACTTAGTTGACAAAGAGTATGCTTACGGGATTATTTACCACACAGTATAAAGACGATTGCTAAAAGTGGTTAAGGCTATAGCAATAAAACTCTGCTCTCCTATGTTATGTAAACAGAAGACGACGTGACCAATTGCAAGTTACCATTATAATCATATGACTGATTTAGAACTGTTTACAGATAGATGTAAAGCAGTAGACAAAGTGGTTTATGTATTATAATTCATTTTACTAAGCCAGTGATGGGACCGGCCATATTATGCCCGCTATGTTATGTTGCAACGGCTGAAGAGGCTAAATCTGTGAGTTAGGCCTAAACTTACAGTATAGTTTGACCCATAAACATACAGTTGGTTATCAGTGACCCAGAAAGTAGGCCTACCGGTAGATGAAGTTTGGCTACAGTAAACAATACCAGGTGAAGTCTACCCAAGCCCATACATCTTACTTGTAGCAAAAGTAAAAGTAAAGGTACCCTTTTTCACGCCTTTAGGCGTATAGGGCATATAGGGCTAGGCCTATATTTTTATAGACCAATCTTCATAAGATGGGTGATGTGGTCAGCATCACACCAGCCGCCTTTAATTCCCGGGACTGCGTCCGGTACCCACTCAAGGCTGGGTCGACCTGGGAGCCAAGGTCATTTTTGAAAAAAAGTCAGGCTCTCTTATCTGTAGACACTATCATAATAAAATAGATTATTTGTGTTACTGTTTTTTTTTTTTTTTTAAATACTTTTTATTTTACATTTATGTTTGTGTTTTCCCTCTGTGGATTCCGGGGTCCCACTGAGGGGAAATCACACTGCCTACCCAACAATCATGTCGTAAAAGTCTGTTTACTTGGAGCTTGCTTCAAAGTCGGAGCGCATCTGCTTGATATGCAAGGAAACAGCAGTTTACATACAATTAAGTCAGATGGGTAGAACGGATGTGCACGCAGACCTCAAGGTCTGAAACAAGACTAAGGTCCAGGTGTGGAGGAACAACCAGAACTTTCCGCCACAGATTACAGCTGGTGAACGCAAAGAACAAGAAGACTATTTGTGATACATCTAAAAAGTTTCAACAAACAAAGGTTTCAGTGGGAAATACTTGTATCTACTGGGGTTATGGTAACTTGTGTACAGTGATAATTGTTGGAGTGCTCTTCCACTTAAATATATCTGGACAGTATCCAGATGGAAAAATGTTGTGTTCTATACCCACCATGCAATTCGACATCAAGTTTTGGAAAGACTGTTAAGATATGTAAACTCGACTTTTACAGTAATTCTAACTAACACGATAGTTCTTTTTACAGAACGATTCCATTACCCGAAATGATCCGGGTATCAGAAGAAGTCTACGGGGTAGATCCTAGGGTGGCCGGATTTACCCTTCCATTCTGTGTCACCCTAAACAGAGACGCTAGCTGCCTGTTTATCGCGATCACCTGCCTCTTTGTGGCCCAGTTCGAAGGAGCAGATTTGGGAACTGGAGATGTATTTATCATAGCGTAAGTAACGTTCGATTTTAGATCTGAAAGTCGTGGGTTCAGATCCCAAAGGAAGGAAACGTTTTTTTTTTAATGACCTTGGCTCCAAGGACGACCAGCCTTCATTAGTTACCAGGTAGAGTTTTGAGAAGTAAAGGAGGCTGGCGTTATATTGACCGCATCACCCACCAAGTACTGATTGGTCAATAAAATATAGGTCTAGCCCTATATGCCCAATGCAACTAAATGCTTGGGAAAAGGGTCCTTTACTTACATTTCATTATTATTCGTAAAAGAAACACTAAATGCAACAAAAACAGTGACTAGAAATATGAATAAACAATTCAGTCTCAAACAGCTAGTCATCATAAAGGTAGACATACGCATTTCTGCAGGTCATTTCAATGTAGTTTTCTAGTCACACTTTGTGTTGTGTTTGGTGATCCGTTGATAAAGACTTAGGACTTTGTACCTATTCGTTTCCATTATCTTCGTTGAATTTGCGAAAATCCTGGAAAGTTTAGGAGTCATCATATGTGTTGAAAATTGGAACTACATACAGCTGTCCTTCTTTTTCTTTTTCTTCTTCAGAAAAGGATTCTCAGTTAAATCCAAACTGTGAATTTGGTCGACTGTTCCTGCGCCTTTTTATTGCGATTGCAAAATACAAGTATAACAGGATATTGCAATCGTTCCTACGTAAAGGGTTCAATGTGCGGGTTCCGTAGACGCATTGTGAGGAAAACAAGAATAGACCCAATGCCTCTCAACTAGATGAGGGCTTCTTTGAAGTGCATCTGCCGGAGTGTCAAGAACCTAAAAATCTGCATACCAGAAAGTCAGATCCGTAAAGCAGATATGCTCGCAACACTCAGGCTCTGGAGCAAGAGTAAAGTCTAAAGGTAGACGAACAACCAGAAGAAGAAGAAGAAGAATGCATACGGCAAGTCAGTTGAAAAAAGAGGAAGCCTTGGAATTAGTAAGTGATCACCCCTAAATGGCCCAATTAAAGTTGTTGCATTCATCCTATATGCATTTAAAGTCTTCACTGTCAGTTTTGAGCCATTGCACAGTCTCAGTTGGTCCATACTGTGTAGTAAACAACTGGACAGCCAACTTTCAGCCTTATTGTGTGGGGAACAGAACTGTAATTATAAGTATTAAAACATCGTATTCTGAATATGGGCACAGGATATAAGTGACTTCTTGAGTATGAAAGTACATGAAGCGAGAGAACTGGCAGACTGTGATGAGAGCGACGTTCTGCAAAGGACCTGCTACGTGATGATGATGATGATGATTCTGAAGTAGACGTGAACAGCTTTTATTTATAAATTTTTTTTTTCGAATTCACAGATTGTAATTTTTAATGCATCAGTCTTCGTCTCACAAAGTCAATTTTTGGCTTGGGTGATGAATTTGTTCATCTGTCTACATGTTTCTGCTACAACATCTATCCATCGCTTTCTTGGTCTTCCTCTCATCTTCCTCCGAGATGTTCTGCTGTGAGAGTCACATATGCAGTTTGTTCTGGCTGCATTCTCACTAGATGGCTGAACCATTTCATTCTGTCAATATAATTGAGACACAGTCTTCTTCCAACTTGCTCTCTAATGTGGTAAGAATGTATTTTTGAGATGAACTGATTCAAGATTCGACATCTGAGCACTTGGGGAGCATTTCCATAAGTGATCCATTCCCATCTTCAGCCGCCAGCACAGAGCTCCAATATCAAAGTTGTCAGTAGCACTAAGGTGTCAGTAATACTAAGGTGTCAGTAGCACTAAGGTGTCAGTAGTACTTAGGTATCAGTAGTACTAAGGTGTCAGTAGTACTAAGGTGTCAGTAATACTAAGGTGTCAGTAGTACTAAGGTATCAGTAATACTAAGGTGTCAGTAGTACTAAGGTATCAGTAGTACTAAGGTGTCAGTAGTACTAAGATGTCAATAGTACTTAGGTATCAGTAATACTAAGGTGTCAGTAGTACTAAGGTATCAGTAGTACTAAGGTGTCAGTAATACTAAGATGTCAATAGTACTTAGGTATCAGTAATACTAAGGTGTCAGTAGTACTAAGGTATCAGTAGTACTAAGGTGTCAGTAGTACTAAGGTGTCAGTAGTACTAAGATGTCAATAGTACTTAGGTATCAGTAATACTAAGGTGTCAGTAGTACTAAGGTATCAGTAATACTAAGGTGTCAGTAGTACTAAGGTATCAGTAGTACTAAGGTGTCAGTAGTACTAAGGTGTCAGTAGTACTAAGATGTCAATAGTACTTAGGTATCAGTAATACTAAGGTGTCAGTAGTACTAAGGTATCAGTAGTACTAAGGTGTCAGTAGTACTAAGGTGTCAGTAGTACTAAGGTATCAGTAATACTAAGGTGTCAGTAGTACTAAGATGTCAATAGTACTAAGGTATCAGTAATACTAAGGTGTCAGTAGTACTAAGGTGTCAGTAGTACTAAGATGTCAATAGTACTAAGGTATCAGTAATACTAAGGTATCAGTAGTACTAAGGTGTCAGTAGTACTAAGGTATCAGTAATACTAAGGTGTCAGTAGTACTAAGGTATCAGTAGTACTAAGGTGTCAGTAGTACTAAGGTGTCAGTAGTACTAAGATGTCAATAGTACTAAGGTATCAGTAATACTAAGGTGTCAGTAGTACTAAGGTGTCAGTAGTACTAAGGTGTCAATAGTACTAAGGTATCAGTAGTACTAAGGTGTCAGTAGTACTAAGATGTCAATAGTACTAAGGTATCAGTAATACTAAGGTGTCAGTAGTACTAAGGTATCAGTAGTACTAAGGTGTCAGTAGTACTAAGATGTCAATAGTACTAAGGTATCAGTAATACTAAGGTGTCAGTAGTACTAAGGTATCAGTAGTACTAAGATGTCAATAGTACTAAGGTGTCAGTAGTACTAAGGTATCAGTAGTACTAAGGTATCAGTAATACTAAGGTGTCAGTAGCACTAAGGTATCAGTAGTACTAAGGTATCAGTAATACTAAGGTATCAGTAATACTAAGGTATCAGTAATACTAAGGTATCAGTAATACTAAGGTGTCAGTAGTACTAAGGTATCAGTAATACTAAGGTGTCAGTAGTACTAAGGTATCAGTAATACTAAGGTGTCAGTAGTACTAAGGTATCAGTAATACTAAGGTGTCAGTAGTACTAAGGTATCAGTAGTACTAAGGTATCAGTAGTACTAAGGTGTCAGTAGTACTAAGGTGTCAGTAGTACTAAGGTATCAGTAGTACTAAGGTATCAGTAATACTAAGGTATCAGTAATACTAAGGTGTCAGTAGTACTAAGGTGTCAGTAGTACTAAGGTGTCAGTAGTACTAAGGTATCAGTAGTACTAAGGTATCAGTAATACTAAGGTATCAGTAATACTAAGGTGTCAGTAGTACTAAGGTATCAGTAATACTAAGGTGTCAGTAGTACTAAGGTATCAGTAGTACTAAGGTATCAGTAGTACTAAGGTGTCAGTAGTACTAAGGTGTCAGTAGTACTAAGGTATCAGTAGTACTAAGGTATCAGTAGTACTAAGGTGTCAGTAGCACTATGATTTTATGTTCGTCTTGCTTTTACTCTGAGCGTCAAGCATCGGCCAGATCCCCACGTCCCTCCCCGCTGCATCACTCTCACTAAATTGTGGTGATAAGTCTGCTCCTTTGAATTGTATATGTTCTCTGCATAAGGCCCTAACCTCGTCTGCCTTATCATGCATCGATGTTTCACCAAGTTGTGCAGAGCCAGCCAGTTCCCTTTTGGTGTTGTTGGTGATCTTACGTAGACCATGCTTTTCACAGGTAATTATTTTCTGTTCTTCTACCGCATTCATTGACCATAATCGGCACTGATACCATAAACTTGGGGAAAATATGTAATGAATTATTTATCGTTTTGCTGGAAGGGAGACATTTGAGTGTCTAAGCAGTAAGGCTAAATGGTAGATGAGAGCATTAGTCTTCTGTATTCTGGCTTCTAGCCAATGTCTTTCAGCGTATAGTAAAATCAAAACAATGTTTTAGAACACGCACATTTAATCAAACTATGCATTTGTAACATACAGCACATTGGCAACTATAAACCTCTTTTAACTACAGTAAAAAGCGGAAAAATGCAATTGTATGGACATGTAATAAGATCTAACGGCCTCTCAAAAACAATACTGTAGGGTTCATTAGAGGAAATGAGGAGAAAAGGCAGACCAAGAAAGACATGGTTACAGAACCTGACTGACTGGACAGGCCTCAGGAATGCAACCACGAAGTCCATCGCAACTGACGGCCACAGGTGGAGAGAGCTGACCAGACATTCAACAGAAACTGGTGGCCCAACGACACGTAAGTGTTACGGCTTGATGATGGTGATGATGAAAATGCAGCTGTAACTAATAAATGTTTCACTTCCTTCAGAATTTTAACAACCATGTCTTCTTTGGCGATTCCGGCGGTGCCAAGTTCCAGTGTCGTTGCTATTCTCATTATACTGAGCTCACTAGGGATCTCCACCACCAGCATTGGCTTGGTCATGGCTGTGGAATGGCTGAAGTAAGTTACCTCAGTTATTCTATTACATTAACGTTAAAGGTGAGAGGATCCACTCCATCGCACTGTGTTTTATCCCATATGTCTCGGCATGTCTCCGCGGAACGACTAGTCTTCAGATAAGAGTGTAACATGAAGCACAAACTCTGTAGGTATGACAACGATCAGCAAAGATTTAAATAAAAATTGCTCTCGTAAACAGTCGTGAGAGTAGTCGTGAAACAAACCTACTTACGACTTTCAGAACGTGAGGCAAATGGCCTGATCAGTTCGCCGTGCATTAAGTTGTTAGTCTTTAGTCTAGGCTCCAGAAAAGGTGCTTTTTAGCTGAAATGCCAAATACAGATTCAAAGAATGCCATAGACCAAGCAGAAAAGGGATGCTGGCATCCTTAAAGATCTGAACATCAAGGAAGATTGGCAAGTAAAAGGCATCTTGTCCCAGAAACTGAAATATTTTCGCCAAAATTGTCATTCTGATCAAAATCGTAGAGCCTGCCAGAGTTCACTGGTGACAAAACATCACGAAAGCCGACATCGCATCCGCGGACTTGTCAGCCATTTCGAACGTTATCAAGATTAGTTATACTAGTGCTGTCAACAACACGCCGCGAGGCAACGAAAAAAAAATTTATATGTGAAATTCGCAGTATGAAGTTGTGTGACTGCGAAGTACTTGAAGGGATTTATTATTTAGTGAACTGCCGTGCAGTAGTCAACCGATCTGAAGAGAAAGACTGATTCATAAAGGGAAAAAGGTAAAGTCGGGAGATTTGAACCAGCTTCATTGCTCTGTAACTCTGTAGCTACAGCGACGTTGCTCCATTTACCCAGAGTGTCAACTCTGGTACCCATTTCCTAGAAGTTTGGTGAACCCCGGGAACCGCCCGGTTTCGAACATCGACCGTGGCTGCAGCGAGTCGCAGCTGGATTTGAAAGTGAGCCTCTTCTCGACTGTGCTAATGCGGCCCCGCTGATTCATATCGGGTACAACTTACTAACACGTGTGGCCTTTTCATACCTTTTGAACTTGAAGAAAGAGGGGAACAGAGAGGGAAGAAAGACAGACTGAGAGAGAGATAGACAGAGAGAGGGAAAGGTAGAGAGAGAGACATTTTGTAAATTAAATCGCGTAAGACCTGATACTAAAAAGAGAGAGGGAAATACATTGATGAATAGGTTAGTTGCGTATCCTTTACAGGACGTTGCAGAACCAACCCCAACAGCCACCTGGCTGTTGTGTGGTTTTTCTAGGCAAATACACGTCCAGTAGTTTTGAGAAATGAAGAGTACAGAAAAATTAAGAAGTAGAAGATAAAGGAAGAAGATAAAGGAAGAAGATAAAGAAGAAGAAGAAGAAGAACCAGAAGAAGAAGAAGAAAAAGAAGAAGAAGAAGAAGAAGAAGAAGAAGAAGAAGAAGAAGAAAGAAGAAGAAGAAGAAGAAGAAGAAGAAGAAGAAGAAGAAGAAGAAGAAGAAGAAGAAGAAGAAGAAGAAGAAAGAAGAAGAAGAAGAAGAAGAAGAAGAAGAAGAAGAAGAAGAAGAAGAAGAAGAAGAAGAAGAAGAAGAAGAAGAAGAAGAAGAAGAAGAAGAAGAAGAAGAAGAAGAAGAAGAAGAAGAAGAAGAAGAAGAAGAAGTAGAAGATAAAACAAGACGAAGAACAAGACGAAGAAGAAGAAGAAGTAGAAGATAAAACAAGACGAAGAAGAAGACGAAGAAAATGAAGAAGAAGAATAAGAAGAAGAAGAAGAAGAAGAAGAAGAAGAAGAAGAAGAAGAAGAAGAAGAAGAAGAAGAAGAAGAAGAAGAAGAAGAAGAAGAAGAAGAAGAAGAAGAAGAAGAAAGAAGAAGAAAGAAGAAGAAAAAGGGAAAGGAGGAAAGAAGCGACTAAGTAGAAGTATATCGAAGAAGAGAGGTGGGATAGTGATAGTGATGGTGATTGCGGTGGTTGTGGGGGAGTAGGAACAACTAATAAAAGCAATAAATTACTGTACAAACTAGTATAGCGATAGGAAACTCTGTTTCAGCGACAGAGTACGGACAACAACGAACGTTTCAAGTCACATGGTTGCAGCACTGGTCACGTGGAGGTTTTGTCGAGCAAGTATGTCCAAGAGCGTCCCAGTTGCAGAGGTCCGTGTGTTCAGAGACGCTGAAGATTTGTAACGATACCACAGTCTCTCAAGGGCGCCGTCGCAAAGAAAACATGGAAGTGGTGGTCCTTCAGAGGCATATGTCTTGTGTAATAGCGCGGTCATAATAATGTTGTCTAATGTTGTTATTGTTAGGTGTTGATTGGGAAATTAATACAGGAATGATGTTTTTTCCAAACACAGTATAGAATACATAGACAAATATTAAAAAAAAAAAAACTTGTCTTCATGGTTGAGGAGGTTAGACGGGTATGGGGGGGGGGGGGGAGGAAGAGGGAAGCACGGTCAAATAGCCTCCTTGTATATTTTCTAGAAAGTGTGGCATGGGGAGCGGGGAAGGGAGGGGGGGGGAGGGAGAGGCTCAGCTCGCCCTAGTAATTTGTAAATATTTTCAGGGAAGGGTGCCTGAGTTTTCAGTTTTGTCTTGTCTTGTCATTATTGTATGTCGATGCAATAAGCGCATTCATACTTGATAGCCTCATTTGGAGATTACCAGAATCACTGATTAGGTCTGTGTTTTTGTCTTGCTCATAAAATGTGACAAAGTCGTCCGGAACTTTGTCTTTTAGACTTTCCCTTGTTGGTTTTCCCATAAATTTAAGTCCCCATCGGGTAAAAGGTCCGTTACCAGTGGCCACGCGTGCATATAAGGGCTACAATCGCCACGTATACTTTCAATTACCCTTCCTCTAATGTTTGCTCTGTTGCCGCATGTCTGATTTCCACACTTTTATGATATCTTACTGTTTTAAGGCTGAAATGCATTCGCGATGACTGCCTTTAGCATCAGTCGATGCAATAGCTTGCTTGGTTTTCGGAACCTTTTGGTCAACCTGGTCGGTCATCAAAACATGTGATTTCTTCTACCAGTTCTCTGTACCCATCGTTTAAATACATGCAGTTTATCCTCCCCCCCCCCCCCCAACCCCCCCCCCACCCCCCCCCTCCACCCTCCGTTACCATCCTCCCGAAAAACTGCTTGCATGCTGTTTGTCGTATCATTGTTCGATTACCATCATTTCTACTGGGGCTGTCGCAGCAATAATCAAGAAAAAGTCAACTAAAAGTTGTGAAATTATAAAAGAAGGCATGTAGATACTTAAACGTTAAAATGTGTCTTCCCTCGCCACAGTCAAAAATAGTTTTTTTTTTTTTTTCTTGTTTGAGAACTGCTTTGTTAACGCATCATTAGCCCGACCCGGTGACGTCAGCAGCACGTCCCGTCCCCTGGAGCCGGTTGTGGTATAACCATGCTAAATAGCTAAATGGCTGAATAGGGTTTTCTGGGATTAATACCTCTTTCATTCTCATCCTTTAGATGTCAATCATGAAGACTGCAAATCAAAAGGGGGGAAATAGGTTATTTTTACGAAGACACCAAAAAAATATTGCACGATTTTTTTGCCTGGCATATTTCGCTGTATCCGTCAGGTGCCTAACTTGTTTGCTGTAGTGTTCTGTAGATACAGCGAAATATACCAGACAATAAATTGTGCAATTTGATATATATGTATTTTTTTTTTTTTTATTTAAATTTTTTTTTTTTTTTTTACTGGTTCAACGAGGCACATTGCTATGACTTTCTTAAGCTAGTTTGTTATCAGTTTAATCGTTTTCATCATTACCCACACACTAGCGTGTAATTGTCGTTTCTTTGTGAAAACAGCACTTTTATTTTGGGCATCCATTACATTAAATTGGAATTTGTATCAAAATTTAAATATTTTTTTTTCATTGTTGTTAGTTGTTCTTGGTTGTGGTATTGTTATGCTACAATAAGGTACACTGACTGTAACTTCTGTTAATATATTTATTACGACAACTGAAACAAACCTATATTGCGACTTATCTTCTACTGTTACTATCATGGATACAACTACAACGAAACTAAACAAAAAACTGTTAAATAACATATCCTGCTGCTGCTACTACTATCACTGCTTCTGATGCTACTAATGCTGTTCTACTGCTACTACTACCACTGCTTATGATGCTACTAATGATGTTCTACTGCTTCTACTATTACTTTTTATACTATGACTAATACTGCGATTACCTTTTACTGCCACAAATAATATTAAAACGCGTATCTCGGGAGGTCCGGGATTTTTGTGAGGAATTAACGAGAAAGTCCACTATTATGGGAGGTGTGTAGTGTTATTTTGTGTTTATATTATACCCTAACAACCATATGCTATTGGACTTTCCATGGAATTCCCTACGGAATTTCGAAATCGCCAGATGAGGTGAGACAAAAAAGAAAAGAGCCTAATTTATCTTTGGCAACGAAAGTGTATAAGGCTATTTCAGCCCTTACACCTCGTAACTGGCTGAACTGAACTGAATTTCTACCCCACCAGGACATCACACAAGCAATAAACACCCGATGACACAAAGTGCCACCATGTGGATGAGGATCGATATATATGGCCTGCCTATATTGCGGCCCCTGGCAAAAGCCAGAGTAGGGCTTCAAATGACAAAAAATTTCGTCCTAAAAAGGACGAAATTGGATTAATTATTACGTCGTAACTGGCTGAAAATATGTTTAAAAATGCGGCTGGCTGAGCAGTTACAACGCTGGGCTGTCAAGCGAGACATCTGGTTTGACCCCATGGTAAATGGATACAGTTTTATGTAAGTGTCAAAAATTAAAGATCCTAACCTACACAGCCAGTCACACCAGCACTAGCCATGCAGCCTGAGATCGTCAAACTTACGTCCCTTCAGTCTACACCGCCCTAAACAGTGGTAGATAAAGATACTAGTGACAGTTTTTAAAATTACATTTTCAATCTTTTAATTAACAAAGAGAAACAACAGTATATGTTTTCCTAGAAAAATAGAAACCGCCAGTTGCTCCCCTTTCGTAATTCTATATAAATATATAAATCTTCTTCGTTGCATAAATATATATATATATTTCCAATAGTAGTTTTTCTTTTAAGATGGAGTGCATCTGCCTGACTGGCAAGTGAAAACAAAAATGCATATATCTGTTAAACGGATGCATTAAAAACTCATATCCTGAAACATAACCTAAATCTAGGAATGGTTGAACAACCAGAACAATCCGTCTATTATCTATTTTCCGTCCTTTTTAGGATGGAATGTTTCGTTATTTGAAGCCCTACTCCTGCTCTTGCCGGGGGCTGCAATATAGCCTGGCAATAAATATGGCCTAAAGGTTGAACGCGGTTTCTGGGACCTCTCCACGATGATCTTCACCCACATGGTGGCACATTGTGTCATGTCCTGGTTGGGTAGAAAGTTAGTCAGTCGAATTTTCCACCAGTGTTTACAGCCGGTGCAAGAGGCAATAAAAATATCATCAAGAACAGTTACCATAGCATTAAACTATTTAGTCTGTCGGAACGTGGAGAATCGTTCAGAGAACACACCAAGGAAAAGGGAAAGAGGAAATACAAAGTAAAGTAAGTAAAGGACCCTTTTCCACGCCTTTCAGGGTATTAGGTATATAGGGCTAGACTTATATTTTATAGACCAAACGGCTCTTGGTCAGAGATGTGGTCACCATCACGCCGGCCGCCTTTTCTTCCCAGGACTCCACCTGGTACCTACTCAAGGCTAGGTCGACCTTGAAGCCAATGTCATTATTGAAAAAAGTCCGACCCCAGTTAGGAACCGAACCCAGGTCTTTTTCTACTTGAACCCAATGTTTTTGGGCAAATTCCAGCACAGCAAAAAGCCCCATGTGGATCGAGAGGATTCTACAAAAACACTCTCGAAGCGGCTCTCAAATCCTTTGGCGTTAAGGCAGAAACATCGTTATAAGGAAAAAAAAAAAAACACATCGTATGCAAAAAATTGTGGTTCTTTAATAATTTCTTACCTCCAGAAGGGCAGTCCAACATAGAAGAGGGAGGTAAGACTGGGTTTCCCGGCTTTCTGATGCTTTTAACTAACCCAAAACCAAACATCTAGAACTGGCCCTAACCCCAATCCACCTACGTTTCACAAGAGAATGCAGCTTAAGTCCCACGACAGCATACAGCCTAGGTCCCACGACTGTATGCAGCCTATCTACCACCATCTTAAATATTAGACTGTCCCGTGACCTGTGGATTTGGCCTGTTTGGGGTAGGATATTATTAAAGCACCTAAATTTGTGTCACTGAAGTTGAAGTTTGAAGCTGAGACAAAAAGAATCCATGTGCACTTTATTTAAATCACAGACATCTTCTTGACGCTGCAAGTCCCAACTTACATCAAACTACCACCAACCAACATCATCTTTGACAAATACAACTGCACAAGAGTAGTGAGACGTGATCAACTCCCATTTGTAAGCGTTAGAATGCAGAATATGAAAGCGCAGCTAGCATTGTAGTACTAGTAACTGGTAGGTTTGCACCTTACAGTTTCTGCATGAGTGGCATAAGCAAGTAGCAAGCTTTCTTTTTGCAAAATTCCAGGCATAAATCGAGAGATTCGTAACAATATCAAATAGTAGACAATAGTAATAAGTATGAAAATAGTTACTCTTGGGCAATGGGAATGTAAGAGGTGATTATAGCCGTTACGTGCACGTCCCTCCACTGCTGCGCAACAACAACATCGGCAAGAAACTATGTTTAGCTTTTGTCATGACCAAAAACTATGTCCAATAACTATACAGTAAAAACTATATACACGAGGGAAATGACTGGTCGTAGTTCACGAGGCAGACCAAGAAGACTATGAAGAGATAACGTCCAGACAGACCTGCATACACTTGGTGCCACCAACTGGAAAGAGAAGGCC